ACATATTTATTAAATTGTTTATTGTTATTATTCCCTTTCTTTTTATAAATTTGTTTATTTCTCTTTAATGGTACTTCTTGTATTGAAAACATTGCTAAACTACCTAAATTATAACTATCCAAAAACTCTTTTTTTTTCGTCTTTTTGTTTTTAATAATAAAAATATAGAATCATTTCGTAAGGATTCACCGTCAATTTGACCCAATTGATCAAAACAGGCAATAAAATTCGACCATACTGTTGATGCCTTTGTAGAAGAGAATAATAATCATTTAAAACACCTTAATTGTGCGGATATATCCATTCCTACACTTTAGTATAGTTATTGACAGACCAGTAATTTGTGCCAATATAGTTGAATGGTTTATTAATAACCATTTTAATATTCAGCAACGTCCATTTGGGGTTGCCGAACGGATATATACGGAGAACGACCGAAAAGGATAATTGCAGGACGAATATGCACAAAGATCCTTAAAATTTTACGTCTCCATGAAAATGTCTCTGTTTGGAAAGATTGTCTAAGTTGTTCTGTATCCAAGAAATTAATCTTTTTAATAGTAATTTTTGATTATTTATTAGTAAATACAAATTTACCGAGTGGGGATTAAAAAAAATTTGTATACAGGGTTTTCAATACATAAATGATGTTTGGTCCTAAATATAAACCTTTAATTACATTGTGGTATATTATAATCATAAAAGGACCAATATAATATGAAACTTTTAAAAATTTATATAGTTTGGTTTGCTAGTCTTAATTATAATGCAATAAAATAAATGTTATGGAACTTTTAAAGCACAGGTAAAAATCAAAAATTATAAAGATTGATTGCAAAAAAAATAGAAATGAAAATAAGGGGTTAAAATTAATTAAAAAATACAAATCCAAAACGAAAAACGATATCTTCTAAACAGCTGAAGGTAAAAAAGTGCAATTTTTTCTAAAATGTTTTATTTTTCCACAAGGTATGTTAAGAACATTGTGTCAAACGGGTTATGTAGGTATAAGGGTTTAAACTTTGACTTTTAAACAACGTTACGTTCATAAATAATAATTTTAATATAAAAACTACTTCTTACCTACAAATCCAAACCAGAATCGAAATCAGAAGATAAACTGTCGAAACCAATATTTACAATGAGTGGCTCGATCATTTCATCAGTAATATTGTCCAACTTCCACATTTTCTCATCTTCTTTAATCGTATGATTTACTGCCTTTTCCCAGTTTTCAGGCTTCACATTATTTACAGCCTCCAAAAACAACTGTTTAACATCACTCATTTTAAAAGAATTATTTTTTCTTGAAACTTCTCCCTTTATCTGGGTCCATATCAATTCAATCGGGTTTACTTCGCAATGATATGATGGTGATCTAACCACCGTCATCCCACGATTTTTTGCAATTTCATCAATTTCATATTTTTTGAATTTCTCTTTATGAAGGGAACACAAATGATACAGTTCTTTTCTCACAGAACCGGGATGGAACTTAATATTCTTTGAATTTAGCCAATTCCGTAAATATTTTTTTAACCACTTGGTTGTGGGCATTTTTTCTATAAGTCTCGAGTGATAACTTGCATTATCCATTACTATTATACAGTTCTGAGGAAGAAGATCTATAATTTGTTCGAACCACTCTTTAAAGACATCAGCATTCATGTCCTCATGGTAGTCACCGGTACGAGTAGGTTCAAAAGTCAATAAACCACTTTTAACAAAACCGTTTGAACTACCGATGTGTACTATTATTAGTCTGCGCCCTTTTCCTGATGGTGGATTTAAACCAGTAGATAAATTAATTTAAAAAGCCTGTCTTCGACTTGTAACAGTTTCATCTTGCCAAAATTTATTTGGTTTATGTCCCTCGTTGATCCATGTTTCATCTAAATAAAATATATTTCTTCTTTGGTTTCTCATTTCTTTTATAGTCCTTAGGTAATTTCTTCTCCATACTACAATATCGTTTCTTTCTATTAAAATAGACATTCTGGAATGCTTTTTCCATAGAAAACCTATTTCTTTTAAAAGTTTCCATAGTGTGCTTCGACTCATTTCAGGGTAATCCTTATCATCTCAAACCGTGGCAAGAACTTTGTCTACTGTCGGAAATTCTTTTCTAAAGAAGAACGCATGCACTTTCCTTCGAAGACTTTCTTTCAAAAGATTTTCTAATTGAAATTTTGGTTTTCCTGGAGCTTTACGTACTGTTTGAAACTCGCCACATTTCTCTTCTTTAACAACTTTGTAAATCGTAGATTTCCCAACACCAAGCGTACTACTAACTAATTCCAGTGTGTCATCAATACTTTTACATAAATGTTTGTCTGTAAATGATTTAAAACAATTAAATATTAATGTTTTTTCATTAACTGTTAAAGGACCGATTTTTTGTCGTTTAGGCGGCCCTTCCAAATTTTCCATGATCACACTAGAATTCACATTGCACCTTGCAAGGTGCAACTAAACGACATTTAGTAAACTGTCAAGAATACACAACTTGGACCTCCTTACTAAATGGAAAACCTATAATCGCATTTTCGGTGAAATTTGTTGGGAAGGTATTTATCTACTTACAATTCGATTACTGTAAGAAATTCTTGGAATTAAAATAAAACAAAATTGGCAAATAGGTACTTATTGAAAATAATCTTAAGATGCGGCTATGTAATCTTTAATACACAGGGCTTTTGGCCTGTCTAAACCTTTTTCTATTGTTCTCTACAGCTTACGTTTATAAAGGACCAATAAAAGACCCAAAACTTGTAATAGCTCAGGTACATTTATTACAATTTTAGGAAATATTTAGATTATTCTGTAAAAATATTTAAAATGACCGTACTAAGTTTTGCATTAGAAATGCTGTTTTATTACTCTCTCATACCAAAAAATAGACTATAGTAGAGGTTTATAAAAGACAGGTAACATTTTTGCAATACAGATTAAGATGTAGTTTAAAACTAAGTTTTGCATCGTGTTGAGGGTATCTCTATTATTTTCAAAGATTGTTTTTTTATAGGGTTATTTTTTAATCCATGCTTACATGAAAAGTCATCGACATTTGCCAAGGCTGCATACATATTTAAACAAGCCTGATAAACTTCATATGTGTTTTGAGGTTTTATATATTTGTGTGACAAATTAATGTATTCCGTTGTATACAATACAAACAGTAATGGTCACAGAATTGATCCCTGCGGTACTTCCTTTGTGATTAGTCGAGAGCTTCATTTTATCATCCACAAAACATATTGACATCTATTAGAAAGATATGAATTGATAATGCCAATAGTATTAAATATTTTCATGGATCAAACCTCTACAGAATAAAAAATGACAGTGGTGTTACAGTAAAAATTTAAATAGTTTACAATTAATTAAAATAAATATTTGACAAGTCTTTTTTATGTCTGTTTTATTATTTATATTGCTATTTTTTGTTACTGATGTCAAGGATCGTTCTTTTATTATAATTTGGCTCTTTTTCGAGAATTTTTACATTTTCAAAATCGAGAGCGTGCAAATTTTCAAATGTCTGTTTGACAAATTAATTTTTAGTGTCTCTGAAGCAATTAGTGTTTAGTAGTGTTTGATGGTACAGTTATGAAACACCCAGTATATTGGTTTAATTTTTGGTACATCCAGTTTTATTTGAAGTAATTATATTTTTTGCTTCATTTTATTACAAAAACTTTTCATGACAAAAAGTTTATAAAAATCTAATTAAAAAAGTATGAAGGAAGGTACCGATTTAAACGTATCCATTTAGTCGTTTATTTTTATTAACAAATCTATCTTAGATAAATAAATATAGGTATTAAATAAATGTTCTCATGATTAGTTATTGCGGTACAATTATCGTAATTGCTAAGTAATAAGGTCTAGAATTTCATGGTAAAAATGCTATATTAATCTGTCGCACTTCTGATTTATGGATGCTCTTATTCGTGTTTTCCATTTCGTTGAACTCATAATTTTTTTTATTCACAACAGATAAAACGATGTCATACCTAGGTAGGTACTTGGTGTTTGTTTTATTACGTTATTATATATTGTATGGGAAAGAACATCTCTATACCAGTGTGAACATGATTTATGTTGATTTGAAAGTACATCTTTTTTTTTGTAAATATGGTATAGGTACTATATAGAAGAGAATTGTTTAAAACCTACATTTTCTATTTAGAGTAGGTATTTTCCAATATAAATTCTAGATTGTTAGACTATGAGCAGGAATTGTCTGGTCACCAGCAAAGATATATTGTAATAATATTTAAAAAATGGATCAATTCATTAGAGATGTTAATTATGATATCTATCATCTTCTTTCATCTTGTATGATTGACGATGATTATGTCCTTTTCAGTGAGCTCATATTTTTGAAAGGTTTTTATTGTATTATTAATTTTTTTGTTATATTATATTCTTGATATTTTTTAAAATATATTGTTATGTATTATACTATTGGCTTAGTAAATAAACGTTATTATTATTGGTTTTCTAAATACCACACCTAATCGACATCTATCTTCTACCCTGTGATGATTTACGTGTTCGGGTAAGCATAAAATAGCATCATTTTCGAAATCAGCGACTTTTAAATCGCTTTTTGACACTCCATCGGGAAGAAAAGCGGAAAAACTTTTTTTTTTCATCGGTCTTTTCCTCGCCCGCCATCAACAACATGAACCCTAATCGATACCCAAAGTCTAATAATTATTTTCACACTTATCGAACACCATCATCACAGGAGGTCAGCTAACACGTTTTCCGTGTGATTTCGTGCACACATCAAGCGTGGCGGTGATTCCACACCACCCGTCCCTTTTTGCTTTTCGTCTCTGTCTCCATCGGAGGCGGCTAGCGCTACGAGGCCGCCGCCACTGCCGAATAGGCTGGACCGCCACGATTCCGCTTATGTACGACGCGCTTATGTACCAAAACGGCCTATGTACGAGGCACATAGCCTGTTTTCAGGCAGCAGAGTTTTCAGTTTGTAGCCGACTGCGAAACAAAACCCCTCTCACAAATCCCCCAAACCTGTCTATACCTACAGTTTAAACAACAAAAAAATTCATAAAAAACCAGAAATCCGTAAGTTTGATTAGATTTGAATTTTTTTCGATGTGGCTTAAGTCTGGTAGATGCGCGTGCCGCCGCGTTCTTAGGATTAGTGTTTGTGGATGCCTCAAGAAAAGTTTCGTTGCTTGTTTTATGATGCTAGACGCATGCTTATAGCACCTCCCTGTTTCCTTATTATTATTCCTTCGTGTACTTTTGCTTGGCGTTCGTTCTCGTTCGCTGGAGCTGCAGCCCAGCTTCATCGATTTTTAAAAAATAATTTAATTTTTTTTATCATTAGTTTTCAAAAATGTTAAATAGATTTTTAAAATTGCATAAAATTTTTTATTTTAATTATTTAACATCTTTTAGATAATTTTTAAAATATTTATAATTTTTCAAATTTTGTTTTGGAAATTTTTTAATATTATTTTTAAAAGTTTTTTTATTAATTATATTCTGTTTGAAGATAATTTTTTAAACATTAATAATAGTTTTTTAATTTGTTAATCATACACTTACCTTTGTAATAGTTTGCTGAAGCTGCAGCTCAATTTTATCTTTTTTTATTTTGTTTTTAATTTTTATTATCCTTTTTTAAAATGTTAATTTTAGTTAAATTTATCTACTATTTATGTTTTTTTTTTTTAATTGCTTACCATTTTTATTTTATAACTTCTCTTTAATTTTTGTAATTTTCCAAATTCGTTTGTTAATTTATTTATTCAAAAAATATTCCGTTTTAATTTTGTACAAAATTATTTAATTATTACTTAAAATTTATTTTATATTGTTTCAAAAAGTTTGCACTGTTTTTTTGTTGTTACATTATATTTTAGGATAATTTAAACATTTTTTCAAATAGTTATAATAATTTTGTAATTTGTTTAATTGTTCAACTTTATCAATTTTTTGTTTGTTTCATTTTTATTATTTATTATCATTTATAATTCCTTTGGTTAAATTGATTTGCTATTTATTCACTTTTTTAAATTGTTTGAAATTTACTTACTTAAATATTTTTAAATTATTTTTGATTTTTAAAATATTCTCAATTAAGTATATTAAATTTATTTATTTAAATTAAATTGACTATTATCTTCCTTTTTTATTTTTAATATTGCTTGGAATTTTTTTGGAAAATGTTTAATACTATTTCAAAAGGTTTGCACTGCTTGTTAGTTAACCGTATCCTTATTTGTTTAATTTAAACACTTTTTTTAAATAGTGATAATAATTTTTAAAATTTGTTAATTAGCAACTCAGATTTAAAAATTAAAAAAAAATTCCTCTAACGATATTTTTAAAAGTTGCATTAGTTTTTATAAAATTTAAAAAATTAATTATTATTAGCAAATTGTCTATTATAGTTTGCCAATGATTATCTCCTTCTAATTTTTAATATTGCATAGTACTTTTTGGAAAATTTTTAATATTATCCTACTCTGGGCACTTTTAAAAATTATTTTTAAATATTTTTAATTTGTTAAATAAAAGCAATTAAATACGTCAATTTTTATTTTTATTAGTGTTTGAAACTGCTTATAATTTTTATTATTATTATTTAGATTTAGATCTTTAAATTATTTTTTAAGAATTTATTTTTAGTTCTGTTTAGCTTTTTAAATTTTTAATTATTATTTTTTACTTTACCAGTTACTAGTTTTTTTATTTTTAGTTGAACATTTTGTATTTACCTATTTATTATTTAAATCCTGTTTCATTCATTTTAAAACATTTTAACTTTTATTTTAATTTTTTGTTATTTACCTACTTTTTAATTTTTTAAGCATTTTTATTTAATGTGGTTTGTTAAGTATATTTTGTTTTTAATTTTAGTATTCAAGGATATTTTTTTGCTGGCTTGATCTTTTTATTGTATAGCTTATTTTTTAAAAACTTTTTAAATTGTCAATTCTTATAAATATTAATTTTTAAAAATGTGTGTTTATTTTAATATTAGAATTTATTTATGTATTAATAATGGATATTTTCATATTATAATTCAGTTAATACCTTTAAGTAGGTATTTTAACATAATAGAAGGTTTATAGGTTAAAAATAAGGATACAAAATATTCTTAAAAGTGAAATAAAATTATTAATTTTTCATATTTTTTAAATGTTTAACTTGTTTACCTCTTTTTCTTCTAACTGTTTTTTCAAACTCCTTTATATAATTAATAAGTTTTAATACACTTTTTTTAATTTTCTGTTTGTTATCATTAGTGTCTTATTTGTCCATTTTTTATATTTTATAAAATTTACACAAAAATAGTATTTTTGGCATTCACTGTACAACTCCATAATCGAAATAGACACTGTACATTTTTTTCAAAATAGTTTTTTTCGCATTCTTCATCAGTATTTAATAATTTCAAATTGCTAAAAATTATTTTAAAAATTGCCAATACAAATTTTAGTTTAGAATTAATTTTAATAATTTTCACATTAAAACAAAATAAATATATTCAAAAAATTTAAATTTCTTTTTAAATTCCTAAATAATTCAAGACTATTTTTTTAGTTTATTTTTCAAAATTAATTTTTTTTAATTTGGCAAATAAAAATTTGTAACTTTTTTATTTTCAACTTTTCGAAAAAATATTATTCTTATGAAAGTGTTTACTCGTTTCAAAACTAATAGTAATGCAAAGAAGAGTTGAATATTTTTTGCTTCAATGAAATAATGAGAAAAATGTAAAGTAAGTAATAGGCCACTTGGGAGCTCCCCCACCACTTCACTTTTTACCAGTCGTTTCTCGACGTTTTCTTATTGTTATAAGATTTAAAGGAAAATCAAAGCGCTAAAAACGTCGAAAAACGTTGTAAAATGATGAAAAACGTCGAAAAACATTGTAAAACGTTAAAAAACGTTGAAAAACGTCTAAAAGCGTCAAAAAAACTCGAAAAAAGGCTGGTAAAAAGTGGAGTGGTGGAGGGGCTCTAAAGTGGCCCATTACCTACTACTTACAAAGCTAGACTAAAAAATAATTTTTAACTTTTAGAGAACATTTTTCTTCATAAAACTTTTTGCGTGTTTTAAAAATAATATGTCAAACAAAAGTTAAATATCTCTTTGTTTTAGTAAAATAATATTTTTTTACATAGAAGGTAATGGGCCAATTGGGAGCCCCCCCACCACTTCACTATTTACCAGCCGTTTTTCTCATAGTAATAAGATTTAAAATAATATCAAACGCGCTAAAGACGTCGATTAAGGTTGAAAAACGTCGAAAAACGTTAATTAAGGTTGAAAAACGTCAAAAAAATTGAAAAACGTTTAGAAACGTTGTAAAACATTGTAAACGGTGAAAAACAATTTAAAACCAACCGTTTTTCAACGTTTTTCGATGTTTTTCGACGTTTTTCAACCTTTTTTGACGTTTTTAGCGCTTTTGATTTTATTGTAAGAAAAACGTCGAAAAAAGGCTGGTAAAAAGTGGAGTGGTAGGATGAGAGGGGGGGGAGGGGGGCTCCCAAGTGGCCCATTACCTACTTACAAAGCTAGATTAAAAAATTATTTTCAACATTTACAGAAAATTGCTTTCTCATAAAACTTTTTGTTTGTTTTAAAAATATTTTTTTTTACATAGTAGGTAATGGGCCCCTTAGGAGCCCCCACCACCCCAGTTTTTATTAGCCGTTTTTCGACGTTTTTTGACGTTTTTGGAAGTTTGTCGACATTTTTCGACGTTTTTCTTACAATTATAAGATTTAAAATGAATTCAAAAGCGCTAGAAACATTGAAAAACGTTGAAAAAGGTCGAGAAACGGCTGGTAAAAAAGTGGATTGGTGGGGGGCTCAAAAGTGGCCCATTACTTACTTTTGTATTTTCCACTCTACTTTACTCTAAAAAGCCACTTGGTGTTCAAAACTTTTCTTTCATTGGGCTCTTCAATATCTACATAATCCCAAGTTAAATTAATTACTAATGAGTCTTTTTCATCTTGTATTGTTTCCATCCACTTCAACACCTTCATCTGATGAAGTTGGAGCCATCTCAAAATTTATTTGTATTTTTATTGTTTTTACATTACCGGTTTTTACTTTTACTCAGAATATACTGTGCTCATCACCTTTTTTAATTTTTATAATACAGGGTGTTCGATAAGTACGGTACATAACTTCAGGAGCGTATTCTGGAGCTAAAATAAAGGTATTTTTGTCATATACACTATGTCTCAAAAATGTTTAGTTACGGAAATACAGGGTGTGAAAGTTTCATAAAAAAAATACAATTTTTTAATTATTTCCAAAACCACTTGAGATATTTCAATTAAATTTTTGTTGCTTTTGAGAATTAGCAACGTTGCGTGGTTTACTGTAAACACAGTGGCTTTCCTTTAACCAGTGGCATGTGTCTTTCTAAATGTTTTAGCACATGGCGTTACCCTATTCGGATAACGTTGCTGATAAATTCTTCTAGGTGAATTCCAATTTGCCAAGCCATAAATGAAGTGCATTTGAGCCATTTCAGCGTTAGTAAAGTTATTCATTTTAATGTCTGACCTACAAATAAATAAACAAACAATTGGCGACTTGTAAAATATCAAACAAGTACCTGGGAAAAATTGAAGATAACTTTTTGTTCTACATTGTTCAGGGATTAAAAATGATAAAAAAGAGTAAAAAAAATTTACTGCCTTTGTTGCTTTTTCTTCCAAATCGAACATTAAAAACAGAACAGTGGCGTAACACGTTTTTTTTTTCATATTTTTCAGCGATTAGTTTGATTGAAATATCTTAAATGGTTTTGGAAATAACGAAGCATTTTTGAGACAAAAATACTTTTATTTTAGCTCCGCAATACCCTCCTGATGTTATGTTCCGTACTTATCAAACACCCTGTATATTGATAATATAAGATGGCAACAAAAACCGCATATCTTGATTCTTTTATAATAGTTATTATTGTGTTAGTTTGCTAACTACAAATCCCAACATACACACCTTCAACCTTTGGGAAATAAATATGAAAATATCCACAATCGTAGGAAAAATATAGTGTGTACAGCAGTTTCCATTGTGTAACGATGTGTTTTTTCTGTTTGTTTCAGAATTCAGAAATTAATCATTAGACTACAGTACAAAAAAAAAGAAAAAAATCTTGTGATACCAAAAATTTTTCGGCTAAAATAATGTTCCTACGTTCATCACCATATCGCAGTTTGCTATCGACGAAGTTTTATAAGAAAATCAACTTATTAAGTTAATTTAAAACGTTTTCGTTTAAATACAACCAAAAACCAAACGGGCACATTGACATTTTTCGTTTAAACAACCGTTATCATCAAGGAGTTAAATATATTGACAACCTGCATCGGGCAACTTGAAACATCTATAAAGCGGACTCAATAGTTTAACTTCTCGTTTTACTACACCTACCTCTCGATTATTTGTTTTCTACATAGGGCAACAATCCATCCAAATAATAAGTTTTGTGTTTCGCAATAAACTGGGCATATATTTTATACAAAACGGGCTAAGTTACAACACGCATATATTCTATAAATATACAACAGATCAAGTGAACTTTTTTTGGTTACCGGTTAAATATAATTGACTGTTAATTAATTTTCGACTGATTTAAAAACGAATTTTTAATTTCAAGAAGACAAAAAGAAACCGTTCGACTTAATAAACAAAATCTGTGATCTATATAGACATAAAAGTATTATTTAAACACATTTTAGGTGTATCTAAAAAAAAAAACAAATTTAACAAATTTATTTTGAACGAAGAAAAAGAAGAATCTAAATCATATTTTTCCAAAATCTCGACTAGAGTGCCTTATTCGTCGGCCTTATACCAAAAAAAAAAGTATTTCCTATTAGAAAATTTGTATATTAATAAAAAATAAAAAAAAAAAACAAAAAAAAACAAGAAGAAGAAGAAACTAAAATATACGTTGTGGCTTATATATTTGGAAAAAGTACAAAATTGTTGAAAATTCATACTTTTTAAAAAATAAAATAAAAATTTCCTAATTGTGACTGTTAAAACTACCTGCCTGCGACTTTAAATATACCGGATCGCGACGTGTTAACACAATTGTGACTTCTATCTACAAGAATCAAGGGTAAGTGTAATTTTTAAAAACATTGTGCTTAAAATGTGTACTCAGAAACGTTAAAAATAAAAAAAAACGAATTAAACCCCATAAATGCGTTAAAAAATAGAGAAAAATTAAATCACTCATTGTTAACTCATATCTCAAATACTTATTTATGGGTAAACTTTTTCCTCTGCCTTCGAAAAATATGAATAAGATGTCATTCAATTAGAAATAGCGTGTAGATGATTTTTGAAAAAATTCAAGATCCGTTAGCAAAAATTTCAAAAGTTATAAACAATTAACTCAAAAAAAAAATAGGGTTTGGTTTTTGAAAATATCTCAAAAACTATTTAACATTTTCTAAATTAGAGAAAAGATTCAAAAAGAGGAGGAAATTTCCCACTAAAAAGTCCTACCTCCGGAACTATAGGACCAATATTTATAATTTTCCCACGGGGTTGAAAATAAGGCCAGAAACGGAGACTCTGGCTTGCTCCGCCCACTGTGGACCTTTAATGGATAAATATTATTTAAACTTATTAAATATGAACATTACGAATTGAAAACAATAATCCGTGGTCAAAAAATTTTAGTCAATTAAAAATGTTTTCCTACTTGAGTAGATAGGACAAAGTTACTATGGCCCCACATAGAGAATTCAATGTGGAAGAGTGAGAGGTACATATTCAATGGGTAAGAGTGAGACATACGGTGTGAGGGGAAAACGAAGGAGTGGGGGATTACATTTCTATTAATGTCGAACAGAAAAACCATGCGTAGAACGAAAGCCAGAAGGGCCTAAGTCTGAATCTCCGTTATTACTGGTCAGATTTGAACGAGGAAAACGGAATTATGTGGAGAACGCTGTATAGATGAACGTTGAAGAGAAAAATCGATGATTAGTTTGACGTTTCGTTTGACGTTTCGTTTGACGTTTCGTTTGACGTTTCGTTTGACGTTTCGTTTGACGTTTCGTTTGACGTTTCGTTTGACGTTTCGTTTGACGTGTCGCATGACGTTTTCGTTTGACATTTGATGTTTCGTTTGACGTTTAGTAAAGGAGCAGCAAGAGTTCTAAAACAAGCACTTCTGGATTTTCGTTTACCTCGTATATTTTTCATTGTTTACGTCAACGATTGCCGCCTCTTGGATTCCCGACGTTATCTAACGTTATCATATTTACTGATAAACCAGACTTCAATTCTCGACGCGTGACCTTAATATTTACGTTTTTTGCTATTTTTCACCTTAGCGATTTCTTATGGGATTTAACATGGGGCTTGTTTTAGAACTCTTGCTGCTTCTTTACTACGTTTTTGTTTAACGTTTCGCATGTCGTTTTCGTTTGACTTTGACGTTTTCGTTTGACGTTTTCGTTTGACGTTTTCGTTTGACGTTTTCGTTTGACGTTTTCGTTTGACGTTTTCGTTTGACGTTTCGTTTGACGTTTGATGTTTCGTTTGACGTTTCGCATGATGTTTTTGTTTAAAGTTTGACGGTTTTGTTTGACGCTTAGATCCTTTTGGCATCGTTACTGCGCACGATATTTCTTATCAACGTTCATCTGTACCACGTTCTCTACATAGAATCTTGGACAACAATGCTCTTTAATTGATAGTTCACTCTTAACAGTAGAGTGCTACTGTAGACATTTAAGTAAAGATTGGACAAATATTGCTAATAATTTAAATGGAGGTAAATTCAACATTGGACAATGGGTAAGAAGGACATACGAGAAGTTCTAAAGCGATTTAATAAGGAAAGATAAAATGATGAAACAAGGCGAACTTCTTGTATGCCCTCCTAACCCATTGTCCAATGTTGAGTTTATCCTATTACCAATAAGTTTTCCCCATTTAAATTATTAGCAATATTTGTCATATCTTTACTTAAATGTCCACACTAGCACTCTACTATCCAGAGTGAACTACACGTTTTCCATTTAAAAAGCATTGTTGTCCAAGATCGCATGTAGAGAACGTGGTATAGATGAACGTTGAAGAGAAATATCCCGCGCAGTAGCGATGCCAAAAGGACCTAAGCGTCAAACGTCAAACAAAAACGTCATGCGAAATGTCAAACGAAACGTTAGAAGAAACGTTAAACGAAACGTTAAACGAAACGTTAAACGAAACAAATGTGTTTGAAATTGGTTTTTCATTTCTGGTAACTCAACCTTTTCAATCATTGGAAAACTAGATTGAGGCCATGACTGCTCATTTAAGGACAACCAAGTTGGCCCTTCCCACTAAATTTCGCAATCTATTAATTGTTGAGGAGTCAAACTTCGAGATAAAACATCAACAGGATTATCTCCTGATTTTACACGAAACCATCTATCTGAGGAAGTTAATCTTTGTATTTGAGCTACTCTGTTTGCAAAAGAAAAGGGATAGTTTTTATCCAACAAAGAACCACTGTTGAATCTGACCAATATGTAATATTTGAAACGTTTGTATTCACGAAAGTTACGAAAAAAACGACGTTGATGGCACGGTGGGGTACGTACACACCCCAAACTACTTTTGATGACTGTTGCAGACCAACTTACGATCTCAGCGCTGTCCCACTGGATTAGATATAAAAGTATATCCCTTGACTACTGATAGATGTCGTTAAAAGTTTCGATTTAGAAGATTTAGATATCAAAAATTGACGAGAAAGAGCGTGGGGTTTGTACGTACCCCACGAGGCCAGGTGAAGGTTAATATTTATCGCACTTGCAATGTTCATGTTCAAGTAGGAAAAAATTGTTTATTAACTAATGCATAATTACTAAAAAACATTTTTGATAATATCTAATCATTAAAAGTCCACAGTGGGCCGATCTTACGCAAGCCAGAGTCTCCGTTTTCGGCCGTAATTTCAACTCTCTGGGAAAATTTTAAATATTGTTCCTACAATTCCGGGATGTAGGACTTTTTGGTGGGAAATTTCTTTTTTTTTTTAATCTTTTTTTAAATTTGGAAAATTTCAAATAGTTTTTGAGATATTTGCAAAAAACCAAAGCCTACTTTTTTGCAGTTAATTGTTATAACTTTTCCAATTTTTCCAAGCGGATCTTAAATTTTTTCAAAAATCATCTACAGGCTATTCCGTATTGAATGAAGCAAAGAAAAAAGTTTTACCCAAAAAGCACTAGACTATTAGTAAAATTACATTTTTTAACAATTTTCCAATAATACATAATAATTTGAAATTACAAAATGACAAAATTAAACAATTTAGATTCTTAAAAATTTTATTTAAAATCTTACAAAATTTGTCGCTGTTTCTAAATTAAACAATTTTTTACTCACATCATCCAACAATAATAAAAATTATTTTATAACAAATATTTCCAAAAATACATTATTTTGACTACTTCTCTACTAGAAAATCAATACCCATACACATTAAATTGTTAACATTTCAAACGACCTCTAATCACAGCTCAAAAGCACCAACCTAACCTCAAATCGTTCTCTGAGTACACATCCGCTTTTTATCGCCGTCTTGCACGCAGCTTTTTTTAATCTATCGCACTTTTTCTAACGCGGAAATCTATGACGCATGCGCAGGCAATCATCGAAACGAATGCGACTCTCAAAAACGTGTATTTGACAGTAGCAATAATTTATTTAAAGTGTTTTGGATCGGAGCATCGGACAGAGTCCGATGCAGTACATAGACAAATATTTCAAAATGGCTGTTATATACAATGACGTCACGGTTCTCCCTCTCCGTGGCGGCCAATCGAAACGCGTGGAATTGTATGGATAATTTTTAAAATAAAGATAATTTATCCGGGATTTTGACCACGCCCTTTTAGCTAAAATAATTATATTGATATTGGTCTGGATAGGATAGGGAAAAATTTTCCAATATATATTAAATTCGGTACGTGCACCTATATATAACATATATTTCTGCATATAATGTATGTGTGCGCATATTTATATAACGTAAAAATTTTGGAATTGCTCGCATTTATTTCCAATACGTACATATATTTGCCATTATTGTTGAACTTTATTTGCTTTTGTTCTATAATTACAAATGTGACTGTATTTCAATATTTGGCCAATTTGGTATGCATGGGAATTGGGAAATTTAAAAATTTTCTACAGAGTGTTTAACAATATATCGACATATACAGTGTGGAAAAGCAAAATGGAGTAAATTCGGAAATAAATAAATAAATATTATAAAACGTTTTATACAGTATATGTCATGTAACAGTGGCTAATACCATTTTCTTATTTAAAACTTTTAATTTTGGATTCTTCGAAAAACTCGTGGACCTATTTTATATACTATGTCCTATACCTAACTGTTTTGGAAATATTAATTTATTCCATTTGGCTGTTACACACTGTATACAGCCCAGGAGCTGATGAAAATAATTTATCAAATGTATACAGGGTCTAGCAGATCTATAATTTCTTTTATGCAAAAAACAAGTCATTTAAAGTATATCTATCAATGGTCAAAATCAAATATATAGTAGATATAGTAGATATGATTGTCATGTTTACAGGGTGGTCAAATAGTAAATTAGTCAAATTTAGTAAAAACAATCTATAATCTGTAGAGTGTTGGTCTGAAGTGCGAATTTTTATTTTGTGTTTATTTGTCAATCAAACTATTTGAATAAGAAGACTTTCTATTTTAAATTATTAAGATAATTATTATCTAAAACTAAAAATTTTGGATTATTTTACCAAAATAATGAAAAATATTATTTGGAAATGAACCAGTTTGTCAAATCACCTCATAAGATTATTTGAATTAAATTTGTCTAATAAAATAATGCATGTGAAGATCCAGTAAATTTTTTACAAATTTTGACTATTAAAATTTAAATTAAAAAGAACAACTGATATCATGGGGTGGGTGGCTCAGTGGTAGAGGGTCACAGGTTCCAATCCCACCGTTGTCCGGGATTTTTTCATTTAATTTAATTATTTAAAATTAATTCTGATGCCTTGGTACGATTCCCCACTCGACCATTCACTGTTAGTTTCTAATTAACAGTGCTGTTC